ACCTGGTGAAGACTCCAGATGCCAAGCCAAAGGTTGTGTTGTTGGCTCTTTGAAGAACTTCCTCCTCGGTGTCAAAAGGCAGAACAGACATCACAGGGCCAAAGATCTCCTCCTTCACACAGGTCATATCATCCCTGCAATTATCTGTGTGTGTGTATTGCAGTAAAGTAAAAGCAAGTACAGATAAAGAAATGGTGGCTCAGAATCAAGCTGGTTTTGAGATAAAGTCCAAGCATTTATTAAATAACATCCAAATTAATATGAAGGTAATATGGCTTTCTCACCCAGCACACATGGGGACAAAAAGTACCCATCTTTCAGTTTGGGATCATTGGGAAGAAATTGTTCTCCTCCACATAAAACCTTTGCACCCTAAAAAAACAATGAGAACGTTTTTTTCAACTACATAAACAATATTTGAACAAACAGTAGAATAAAGTAGTTCAAGTCATGATAAAATGGAAGGAGGGACAGACCTTGTCTTACATAACGTGAGGTATATTGGAGTCGGATTTTTGAAAAAGAAAAAAAAAAAATTTTAGGACAGGGACTTGGTTCAATGCATCAGTTGTGGATTGGATTTTGAGATGTGGGTGTTGCACAAAACACAACAACATGAATGCAAGTTTGTTGTCAATTGTGGAGGTGGAGGGTTTAGGTGGACAAATTGACTGGATAAGTCTGGCATATGTAACCAGAGAGAAGTCAGTCAAATTCAGCAGAAGATTGAGTTGACATCTTAATTAAACATGGTCAAAAATTGTTTTAATAAAATAAGAGGTCAAAAAATTTTTCAAAAACATATTCATACAAATCGTTCACAATAAAACCTATAACATGCATTTACAAAATAGATTTATTTCATGTTGTCATTGACTTTAAATCACTGTACTGCAGTACCTGTTCTCTTGCTTGCTTGATGAAGCCCAGCACTTTTTCCATGTGAGGTTTACTGATGAGGGCACCCATGCGTGTTTCTTCACACATGGGATCCCCAACAGGGATGGCCTTGGTCCTCTTC